CACATCATATATATGTATTCATATCGCGTATTTTATTCACATCATATATAGGTGTTCATATCGCGTATCTTATTTAAAGCATATATCTTAACTATATCGCGTATCTTATTTATATCCCGTATCTTATTTACATCATATATCTTAATTATATCGCGTATCTTATTTATATCGCGTATCTTATTTATATCGCGTATCTTAATTATATCGCGTATCTTATTTATATTGCGTATCTTAATTATATCACGTATCATATTTATATCATGTTTTTTAATAAGTTTTGACCTTTTTCAAGTTATAAATAAATAAATTTTGCAGGGAGAATAAAAAATTGTCAAATAAGTGAGGAATTTTTATAATGATGTTAATATCACTATATTTATTATATTTAATCTTTACAAGTTGTCAAAAATGTCAATTTCCTTAACTAAATGAGTAATTTTTATAAGGAGTAAAACATGTCAGTTTGAAATGTCAATATGATTAAATAAGTGAGTAATTGTTATAAGGAGTAAAATATGTCAGTCAAAAATGTCAATTTCCTTAACTAAATGAGTATTTTTTATAAGGAGTAAAACATGTCAGTCAAAAATGTCAATATCACTAAATTTATTAATTTAATTTTTACAAGTCAGTCAAAAATGTCAATATCATTAAATTTATCATTTAATTTTTATTAGTCAGTCAAAAATGTCAATATCACTAAATTTATCATTTAATTTTTATTAGTCAGTCAAAAATGTCAATATCACTAAATTTATCATTTAATTTTTACAAGACAGTCAAAAATGTCAATATCACTAAATTTATTATATTTAATTTTTACAAGTCAGTCAAAAATGTTAATATCACTAAATTTATTATATTTAATTTTTACAGGTCAGTCAAAAATGTCAATATCACTAAATTTATTTTATTTTTACAAGTCAGTCAAAAATGTCAATACCACTAAAAAATATAACATTAAATTTATACACGGCAATCGTAAATGTCAATATCACTAAATAAATGAGTAATTTTAATACGGAGTAAAAATGAAACGTTGCAACGGCACCATTATCATCATTGATACACTATAAAAAAACTCTACCTGTTATTGTGAATATTCTATAAAAAACTCTACCAGAGTACAACGCCATTTTATAACTCACATAATTAACCAACACAACTCTAAAATTATAATTAATAAATTTTCAACTCCAAATTTTATTGATTAAATATATTTTAACAAAAACAAAGTCATCATAATTATAAAATCTAGTCCCTTTTATACTTTTTTGAGACAAAAAGATCACGAGTTTTACACATGATTATAAAATCAGACGACTATTTATGAATTTGATAAATATTAAACAAAATAATATAATTTTTAAAAATAAATAATTTTAAATAATAATATGACATTAATTAGTTGTAAATAAAATTATTTAGCTTGTAAAAATGGACAAGAATATAAAAATGTTATCTTAACAATTTTTGTAAGTCAAATATTAAGAAATATGGAAATGTTTTCCATCAAATGTGGTCAACACTATACATGTATTTGTTGTCAGCAATTCCCTTTCGGAATGCATTATCCAAAAGGAGATGCAAAAATTTAATACTCCTTTTAACCGATATCATTCAGGAAACTATTAAGAAAAATGGAAAAAACGAGAAATTTACTTTAAAAAAATATTTTTATAGGTCAATATTGATTTTTCTATGTTTTATTGAAAACTGTTAAATATGGTTTCTTTTATTTTAAGTTAGTTTTTTTTATCCCCCTTTTGTTTAATTTTATTACATTTTAAAAGTAAAACAAATGGTTATTGTGTTTTCTTTTAATCATGGGGTTTATACTTTTGGATTCTTTAGCAGGTGTTCATTAATTATAAATGAGATAGTTGGATCCGAAGGTATAATTAGAGTTCCTAAAAGTACTGGGGGAGGGGTTGGTTTTATCTCCAGTTATGTAAGATAAAACTAACACAACTCCTTTTCGCAAATATGTTCCTTTTTTCACTTTGCGCTAATTTTATTTTAATATAATTGCTGTTTTTTATTTTTCCTAAAAAAGGGACTAATTTTTTTGTTTATCTCCATCTAATATTTTAGCTTATAAATTTCTATAATTTATTAATTGCGTTTAAAATTTATGTGGTTTCATAAAATATTTAATTGTAATTATGTTTTTTAAAAGTTTATTTTAGATTCTTTTTATGGTTTAATAAAATTAATATCGAGTTAATCATTTTACCAGATCTCAAGGGTTAGACTTAGAGACAGGGATCCAAACCGAAACGAATATCGGTTCGGTTCAGATAAGAATAAAGGTTCAAGGTTCAGGTTTGGTTCGCAAAAAATAAAAATATCGGTTCGGTTCGAACCTCTAAAAACCGGTTTGAACACTTTTGTATTCTACATTAGGATTATGTATAAGGAATTTTTTTTTTTATTTCATAATTAAAATAAAAACCTTCATTTTTATTGATTGCACATTATAAAATAATATTTAATTTATAAATATAACAAATAAATATATCAATGTTTAATTTTAATATGAACAATTACATTTTTTTTATTAAGCTGCACAATTAATATATTTTCAAAATTGGTCTCACTCAAATTACATCTATAAGGTAATAATATAAATTTAATTGTTGAAAAACATCCATCCACACCAACTTGGATAGCTGGCATTGCCAGTATGATATCAGAATATGTGTCATTTATAATACTATATGTAAATAATTTATATATTAGATTTAATTTTTTTCTAGGCATTATAATTTTACTTCCGGTGGAAAATTTGAAGTGAGAACGGTAAATATTATTTTATTTTAATCATATTTATTTACAGATTATATGAACATTATAGTTACTCCTAAGACTTAAATTGTAAAATTGCCAATATGACCCTTCCATAATCAAAACTTACTTAATCGGGCATGGGCTTTTATCTGTCCCTTTTACTTCCCATGGGCGTTTAAGTGAGTGGCTTTGCCACTCACGCGCACAGGTAACTGCGGCCTGCCCAAAAATCGTGGATGGTCCTCTTAATTATTTTCCCATTTTTTATCCCAATTTGATGGGTTTTTTCATAAGAGAACCAAGCGTTGCTCTGTTGTATATATAACTTTTGCTATATGTACGACGTTTAGGGCTAGTGCGCTTAATATTACGTATAAACTTAAAATAAAAAATATTGTAAAACAGGCAATATGCTAAAGTTTAAAAATTATGACTGACGTTTATCAATCAATGATTGATAATAATTTTTAAAACAATTTGAATATAATTAAAATTTTTGCAATATCTACTAGTAATAACTTACACATTATTTTATAAGCATAAAATTATGAACTCGAACCGGTTCAGAGGCATTTTAGCGGTTCGGTTCAGGTTCGGCTAGAAATTTTTTAGAGGTTTAAGTTCGATAAAAATACCGGTTTTTAGCGGTTCGGTTCGGATCCCTGCTTAGAGGATCCTTCAACGAATGTTCGAATGATACTACGAGCAGTGTACTTGTATCTGAAGCCTCGTTACTTCAAAACATATAGCAGACTATTAACATATTAAATGAAATCTTATAATTTTGATTTTTTTAAAATTTTATGCTTTTAATGTAGTTTTTAATTTTTTTTTAAAAAAAATCAAGATTTTAATATAAAAAAATCTAGATATTGATCTAAAATGTCTAAAATAAAGATGGATGAGACTTATTATATAAATCAAATGACATTGAAAATAAGTTTTTTAATAATATTAATATAATGTTCTATATTGGTTTTATCAGAATATAGAACAAATTATGTGTTATTATAACTATTAAATTGTTCATAGTGATATTATTTTTATGCCGATGATATTTTATTTTCATGTCCATGGTATTATTTTAAGATGGATGAGACTTATTATATAAATCAAATGACATTGAAAATAAGTTTTTAATAATATTAATATAATGTTCTATATTGGTTTTATCAGAATATAGAACAAATCATGTGTTATTATAACTATTAAATTGTTCATAGTGATATTGCCGATGATATTTTATTTTCATGTCCATGGTATTATTTTTAGGATAGAGAAAAGTTTATTAATTTTGGTATTTAAAAAGTATAAAAGTTAGTTCTCTAAGAATAGTTAAATCTATGAGAAACTTAATATATGTCTTTCCCTATTAAAAATATGAGCTAAAATGCTTTCTTGTCCGGTAATGTTGAAAAATGTGGAACTATAATCCTAAGCAGACGATCATATAAAAAAATAGTAATTTAAATAATTCGCTACTTTAAAAAAATAGCGGTAGTGACTATTTTTTTGATAGAGGAAGCAAGCACGTTACTTCCAAAAGTAACGTTTAACAACACTGATCGAAACCAATTCGTGGTATTTAGATTGATTTAAATTTTGTTTTCCATGAAATTCTTTATTTATTTAAATGAATATATCAAATGTATTAAATATTATAATAAAGAAAGAACATTACTTTTCCTAGTTTTTTTTAATTAGAGTACCTTTTAAAATTCAACGTTTAAGATGGCATATTTTTTATTATAAAAAAATTAATGTATGAAGATATATTAAAAATTTACATTTTCAACTTATGTATCAGTTTTTAAATTTATTCAATTTCAACAATTTATTTTATATTAAAATATGCTATGTAGGCAATATTAATAAACATCATGGTATGCATATACATCCTTTAAAATTTAATCATCATTGTTGAATTTTTATTATCATGAGAGTTATATTATCGCCACACAAACTTTTAGCTGCTTTTTGAGATAGACTTAGACATGCAAGTTCATATGCTTTGTTTAATGGCATTCCCAATTTCAGCTTTTCCTAGGTTGAAATCATATAAAATATATTATAGAATATAAATCAAACAAATAGGTATTGCATTTTCCTAATCAAAATTAAATATTTTCAAGCCAAGAATTTTTAAGATAATTAATAATTTGAAATTTTTAACATACTTTGATAATATGATGAACAATTTCTATAGCTTCTTCAGGAGAAAATGCTTTCCATAATCCGTCACATGCTACGATAATGAATCTTTACAAAGAAAAATATAAACCTAAAATAATATCAGACTCCAAATATTTTTAAGGATAACTGAAATAAGTTAGGTGCCCATGACTCTGAGACATGGATACGTCGCCTTCATTTTATTACCCTATCAAATTAAAACCTTAACTTATAACAACTGTTATGGTAATTAATAGTAAGGAAATATGAAATTTGAATCAAATAAGATTAAAAGGTGGATTAAACAAATATATATTTAACCAGAAATAATGCAACTTCTGTAGATAAATAGGGTTAGCAAATTTACTAAAAATTTCAATACAATTAACTGGGGTTAACTTGTGCAAAAAGCTTCAAAGACCGTTGTAGGATTGTGAAATCATTATCGGAGTGATATTTAGTTATTGTAGAAGTGATTTTTAAGAGATGTAATTATTATTTTGTAAATATATTTTTACAATGTTTTTTCCATTTTTATGATGTTCTGATTAAGTGGGCGCGGGCTTAATTTTTCATTCAAGACCCACCCGCTCAGGTGGCAATAAAAAAATTCATGCCCTCTCACGCTTACTTTTAAAAAAATTTTGACCCAACGCGCCAGCTCACGAAATACAATATTTTGATCATGCTGTCACGCCCGAATTCACGGTGTTTTTAAATTTCTCAAAACCTTATAGCCTTTTGAATTTATTTTATCAATTTTTAATTCTCTAATTCCATATTAATAACATGAAATAATTACAATTTATAAATCAAAATTTTAATTTAAAAATAGAAGAAAGTCCATGTTATATTTTCCATTTGTGTTCGCCTTTCCTCTAATAAGAGATTGGCTATAAAAATAACCTTTCATTAGATGCCTAATTTGGGACTGAAAATTTTTTATTTTTTCAAAAAAAAGGAAATGAATTTTCTTGCTTCCAAAGCTGTAAAATATTATCATTGTTATGAGCGACGAATCTACTTTCATCTTCAGATGTTGATGCTTTATCGGAATCATCTAGAAATTTTCTAAATGTTTTATTTAGAATATATGGTTAATGTGTATAGGTGAATTAGAAAATTTGTAAATGATAGATAGCAATGACTTATGCATATCATCTAATTTTATATCAAATATTTTTAAGGTTGTTTTATATCGTCTAATAAAAACTTAAGACTTTTGACATTCAGACCTAAAATTAAGCCTACCTATGTAGTGGCTGCATAATATATTCTTTATTGAGAATTTTTGTCCTGTTTTTTAGGGTTTTGATTATTATTGTACCACTTACAGAAGGTTAACGAAATTTTACTAATTTTTGTTTCAATATATAAACTCATTTATTGTGGGACGAGAATCTGAGCTCAGATTATTGAGCATTCTTTGAGTATTGATAAAAATTTAAGTGTGTGCATAAGACTCTACAATCATTGTACTAAGTATATTTACAGGGTTTTATATTCAAAAAAGAAAAAGTCCCAATAAAAAAGGAAAAGTTTCAATCATAAAAGGAAAAGGTCCGATCAAAAAAGGAAAAGGTCCAAACAAAAAAGTAAATTTCCCCAAAAGAAAGGAAAAAGTTCGATCAAAAAAGAAAAAGTGTCAAACAAAAAAAAGAAAAGGTTCAATAGTGTCAATCAAAAAAGAAAAATTTCCATTCAAAAAAGGAAAATCGTAATTTTTTAAAATTTTTATTTATTTTTGTCATTCCCTTTTATTTTATTTCTAACTTTTTGCGATTTCTTTACTTTATTTGTATCTTTTCTCAATTTATTTTTCTTACTATATTTTTTCTTTTTCTTCTCATTTTAGAAATTCTTTTGTATTTTTAAAAATAATTTATAAATTTAAGTCCATTTTTTAAACAATTCTTTACGTTTTTTTTCATCATACATATTGTCGTAATTTTTAAAGGGATCATAACTATCAGGAATCTTCACGGAATTTAAAGGGATCTCTTTAAAATTACAATTTTTTAAAGGATAAAGAACTATACGGCATTATCACGTTTGAACCATGATATAGAAGAATCTTATTTTAAAAAGCGTTTTCCGCGCGTTTCGTTTTTTTATTTTATTGTTATTCATTAATTTTTTATGTTGTTTTTTTTGGTCTTATGAAATAAGATATGTCTAATAGAGGGTATCAATCGATAGCTAATCAAAAGCTATTCAACTGGAAGTCAATCTCTCCCCCATAATGGGCTGGTCTAGGTCTTGGGAGGTGAAAAATATTTTTATCAACACAAAATATCGATATGGGTATCAAATAAAAGCTAATTTTAATATGGTTTGACTGAAAGTCTTCATTCTTGGTCTGGATAGATATGACTTGGTCTGAGGGTGGGGGATAAAAAATAAAATTTTTGATATGGGTATCAAATAAAAGCTAATTTTAATATCGTTTGACTGAAAGTCTTCATTCTTGATCTGGATGGGTATGACTTGGTCTGGGGGGAAGAAAAGGGCATACATTGAAATATTTACCACCCTACAGTCCGTATCTTAATCCTTGAGAATGTGTTTTTTCAATGGAAGGATTTTGTCAGAAATAAAAATCCTATTAACGAGGAAGAATTAATTCGTTTCATAGAACATGGAGAAAGAGGAATATCTGAGGAAAATGCCAAAAATTATTTTAAAAATATGGAGATATATTCCAAAATGTAGAAGAAGAGAAATTATTAATGATTAATATAAATTTTTGTTTCTTGCTATATTAAATATATATCGTAATTGTAATCAAATAATTTGATATGTAAAAAATTATAATAAAAAAGTTGTCTGCCAAAAAATTTAGTGAAAATTAAATATACTTTAAAGAATTATCAAAAATGAGAAGAAAAAAAAATTGAGAAAAGATATAGTAAAAAAAAAATTGAGAAAAGATACAAATAAAGTAAAGAAATCGCAAAAAGTTAGAAATAAATAAGAAGGAATGACAAAAATAAATAAAAATTTAAGAAAAATCGAAAAATTTATAATTTTTTTAAAAAAATTACGATTTTCCTTTTTTGAATGGGAAACCCTGTATGTTGAGGACCTGACAATCATACCCATCAAGACAAAAAATGAATAATTTCTATTTAGAGATATTTAAATTAGATTTTATTGATACCCATATCGATATTTTGTGGTGATAAAAATATTCCTGACTCCCCAAGCCTAGACCCGCCATCTATGAGTGATTATTATTATTACAATGAAAAAATATATTTATTAGCTTTTATTTGATAACCATTATTTTTTACACCCCCTCCCCATCCACCCCCCAGACGAAGTCATATCCATCCAGACCAAGAATGAAGACTTTCAGTCAAACCATATTAAATTTAGCTTTTATTTGATACCCATATCGATATTTTGTGGTGATAAAAATATTTCTGACCCCCCAAATCCTAGACCAGCCATTTATGGGGGAGAGATTGACTTTCAGTTGAATAGATCTTTTGATTAGCTATCGATTGATACCCTATATTAGACATATTTTATTTCATAAGGCCAAAAAAAACATCATTGAAAATTAATGAATAACAATAGAATTAAAAAACGAAACGAAACGCGCGGAAAACGCTTTTTAAAATAAGATTCTTCTATATCATGGTTCAAGCATGATAATGCAGTATAGTTCTTAATCCTTTAAAAAATTGTAATTTTAAAGGGATCCCTTTAAATCCCGGATAGTTATGATCCCTTTAAAAATTATGACATATGTATGATGAAAAAAAAACGTAAAGAATTGTTAAAAAAATGGACCTAAATTTATAAATTATTTTTAAAAATACAAAAGAATTATCAAAAATGAGAAGAAAAAAAATTGAGAAAAAATATAGTAAGAAAAATAAATTGAGAAAAGATACAAATAAAGTAAAGAAATCGCAAAAAGTTAGAAATAAAATAAGAAGGAATGACAAAAATAAATTTTCCTTTTTCGATTGACAATTTTCCTTTTTTGATTGGACCTTTTCCTTCTTTGATCGGACTTTTTCCTTTCTTTTGGGAATTTTCCTTTTTTGATTGACACTTTTCCTTTTTTGATTGAACCTTTTCCTTTTTTGATTGAACCTTTTCCTTTTTTGATCGGACCTTTTCCTTTTATGATTGAAACTTTTCCTTTTTTGAATGGGAAACCCTGTATTATGATCATTATGTGGTAAATCATTCAAAAAATTTTGTATTAAGGTCAAACTCTTTAATATGTACTGAAACAATTGAGATAAATAATATCTTATGAACTGATATAGAGAAAAGACAAATTAATATTTAAATGAACATATTTTTTAAAAAACTTGTTAATCTATAAATGTAAAGTAGTGTTGTTAAACGACTCGTTTTGAGCCGATTTTTTTAAACGGCTAACTCAATATTTTAGCCAGGAAAATAGTACGTCTCGAGATTTCGATAATATATGTCTAGTCCTTTGTTCTATCTATGAGCAAAACCTTCAGGCTTGCGTAATATTTTCTGGTTGAAATATTGAGTTAGCCCTTTTTAAAAATCGGCTCAAAACGAGCCGTTTAACACTAATGTAAATGAAAACATTAAATAATTATAATTGACTATTTTAGATTTGTAGGTAAATATGAGAAAATATAAGTTATTAACATGTGTAATCTTATAAATTTTGATTGATTATAATAATTTGAGTGCAAATGATTAGTGTATATATATATAATAAAGATAAATGAAAATAAAACATATTTAAATTAAAATTATTTATTCCCAAATTTCCATTGCTGATCGAGAGTTGAGAAATTTTTTTTTCTTAATTCATTGAAATTTTATAATACGGAAAAATATGATGTTTATAAAATGCTAAATTTGTTTGTTTTCAAAAATTATTCCTTTTTCAAAATTAGAAAATATATATTATAATTATAAAATTGCAAACTTATATTGATAAAAAAAACAATTTAAAAAAATTAAAACTTCCGTGATTCACGAAAATTTAGGTTCATGCCCAATCACGCCTGGCAAAAATTTTGGCAAGGCCCGTCACGTCTAATAATTTAAAATTTATTTACACCCACGCTGTGACTCATTTGTCTCGACTTTAGTTTTTTTTAAAAACTGCTTTGGAGTTCTTTTTAATAAAAAATTAGAGAAATAACTCTAATTATAATAAAAATGACAGGAAGATGGCATTTTTCATTATTTTTTGATGCTTTTTTTTAAAAAAATGCATATTTCTAAATTTTTTTTGTTTTTGGTTATAAAAAGTTACCATTCTTGTATTACTACTTTCTAAAGTGCACATTTGTCTTATTTTTCCAGTCCAATCATTATTAAGTGGCCACATTATAAAATTGGAACTCACATTTTGGCTAATATAGTATATCTCATTCATAAGCATTTTAAATAGCAGAGCACATAAGGGGACAAGAATCAAGATTAGAAGAAGTGGTAATAATTAATATTATAGCCATTTCAATTTCATTGCGATAAAAAATAAATAATTAAAATAAACACATTTATTATTATAATGCATCCTATTTAAATTAATATAAATATTGCAAAACACATATTATTAAAAAAAATTTACTAGAAATCTTAAATTTAGAAATTTAACATCAAAAAAATTAACGAACGAGACTGATTGCTAAGAAGAACCGAAAGACCATTTTTAACTTGGTACGGTCTAGTCTAGATAGTTGACATTCCCTAAGAAATTTAGTCTTAGAATAATATCATGTCAGTTCGGGGCAGTTATTTTGGCGTGTCAATTCGACGCAGTTTCCTGCATAGATTCGCAGCGACAATTCGACGCAATAAAGAAAATAACACTTAAAATGAGCAAAACAATGTGCCTCTTGGACGCCAGGATAAACTGAGCTGTAAATATTCGGCATGTCAAAACTATTGATTCGTCACATTAATTTAAAGCGAAAAATTTGCCAAAACTGAGCATACAATGCATAATTCAGCGTGCAAATATTGAACAAGAAAAACTTAGCAAAAGGGTAATTATAAGCGAATTTAAATGAGACAATATCTATTCATATCAGAGACCTCAGACCCGGCCCTAAACCTAAGATACACTCAATATTAAAATATAATACACTTTTTAAGGGAACAATTTATTTTAAATAAGTATCATTTTATCTCAATTTTCTCTGTCCAAAATTAAGGCAATTACGTATGCTGCCAGGGAGAGAGCGCAAAATGACTAATACTTATATATGATGATATATTAAATTACAAGAGGAACAGAAAATAAGGGAATTTCCATTGACCAGTGGAATTGAAAGTATGGTGATTAAAACTTACTCCCTGGACAAATACTGCAAATAGAAATTTTTACGACAAAAGGGGAGATACGATTTTTAAGATATTATATATGGATTTTATATTCGCTAAAAAACTATCCGTAAAATGCCGAACAGGTATATTTTATTTTTTTTTGCAAAAACTAAGGCCGTAGAAAAAAAATGTACACACCCTGACCGAAAATAAAAATTTTTTTAAAGAAATCCGGGGGGGGGGGGGATTTTTTTCAAATCCGGGCCTGACCGCGCAAATGGTACTTCTGCAGCTGATATTATAAATAAATTCAGCAAACTATAGGGCAATGTGATTGCAAATTTTTTACTTATTTATGAAAATATTCTTTAGTATCAAAAAGAATATTACACCATGCCTATAACAATTCTTAAGAAATTTTCTACAAACCAAACAACACCGAATATTGTTTAAATGGCTTACATAAATAAACAAATACTTTTTAAAAATAAACAAAGATCAAGACCCGGCCCGAAAAATGGTATGATTTAAAAAAATATTGATATAAAAGAATAATTGGATGGAGAATTAATTTGGGGGTTAAGCATAATTGTTTAATTATTCAAATCACTTTTTATGAAATAAATTTGTCTTTATTAAAATTCATATAAACATTTCGTAATCATAATACACAAATGCGATCAAAGTTAATAAAAATTGAAGACATTTTCGGTAAAATAAAAGCAAGATAAAGGTCACGTATTATCCTCGTGTATACAGGTCCTTGAAGTTGGCCCCCAATTTTGGATTTTTAATAGTTTATCAGTTGGACTGATTTGTACCGTTTTCAGTTCGATTTGTACCATCACCATTTTTGAGATATTCAAAGAACAAAATGGGGGGCCAACTTCACGACAGCCCCCCAACTTTTGAACTTAAAAATAAAAAGTGGATAGGTCGATAGAGGATGATTTGTACCGTTTTCAGTTCGATTTGTACCATCACCGTTTTCCAGCTATTGACCGTTAAAAATATGGCGCCAAAAATAAAAAACACTCAAAATTAATTTTTTTTGAAAATTTCTTAACGTACAACGATAGATAATTTTTTTATCTTCCTGGTGATGCCTCAAATTAAGCTTTATCTTCATTATTTATTTCGGAAATCAAATTTTAAACTTTATATTATAGCGTGAAGTTAGCCCCCCCCTCGATATTCAAAATTTGAGATTTTTCAAATTATGATTTCCGAAATAAATAATGAAGACAAAGCTTAATTTGAGGCATCATTAGGAAGAGAAAAAAATTCTCTATCGTTGTAAGTTAAAAAAAATTTTTTGAGTGTTTTTTATTTTTGGCGCCATATTTTTAACGGTCAATAGCTGGAAAACGGGAATGGTACAAATGGAGTTTAAACGGTACAAATCAATCCCGTTTTAAAAATTTGAAAAATCTCAAATTTAGAATATCGGGGGGGGGGGCTAACTTCACACTATAATATAAGGTTTAAAATTTGATTTGCGAAATAAATAATGAAGATAAAGCTTAATTTGAGGCATCATTAGGAAGAGAAAAAAATTCTCTATTATTGTACGTTAAAAAAATTTTTTTTTTAAAATAAATTTTGAGTGTTTTTTATTTTTGGCGTCATATTTTTAACGGCCAATAGCTGGAAAACGGTAATGGTACAAATCAATCACGTTTAAAAAATTTGAAAAATCTCAAATTTTGAATATCGGGGGGGGGGGGGAGGGCTAACTTCACGCTATGATATATGATTTCCGAAATAAATAATGAAGATGAAGCTTAATTTGAGGCATCATTAGGAAGAGAAAAAAAATTCTCTATCGTTGTACGTTAAGAAATTTAAAAAAGAATAATTTTGAGTGTTATTTTTGGCGCCATATTTTTAACGGTCAATAGTTGGAAAACGGTGATGGTACAAATCGAACTAAAAACGGTACAAATCACAAATCATCTTCTATCGACCTATGCACTTTTTATTTATAAGTTCAAAAGTTGGGGGGCTGTCGTGAAGTTGGCCCCCCATTTTGTTCTTAGAATTTCCCAAAAACGGTGATGGTACAAATCGAACTGAAAACTGTACAAATCGAACTGAAAACGGTACAAATCAGCCCAACTATCAAAAAGTGTGGGGCCAACTTCACGGACCTAGTGTATACATATACAAATTTTTGGTTGAAAAGACACTTTTGTTCTCGCAATTATTAAACTGGTTTTGACCAGTTCCTAAAGGCTACTGGGTGTACTGTTTATAAGATAATTGTGGCGGGAAGAAAATGTAAAAGAAACTTGTAAAAAATTTGTTTTATCAACCAAATGATATATAAAAAAATATCTCGAAAACACAACTCAAAAAAAGTGATAAAAAAAGATCTCGAAACATAACAAAAATGAGTCGGCATTTTAATATTTTTAATGATAGAACCAATGTTGTTATTGATTAAATATAGCAACCTATCTGGTGCCCCGGTAGAAAGGGTTTAGTGTGTATAAAAATATTTTTACAGACAAACCAGGGTGCCTTAAATGATAAAAATTTTGGGAATGCTTATTTAAAATCTAACAATAATTATTTAAATTGTATATTTGTATATAGATGTGATATCAGTTCAATAAAACTTTTAGCTCACTTAGAAATTTGAATTTTAACCATAGAATTCTAAATTAAGCATTATGCATTGCAAACCCTACATATGTTTAATAATTGTATAATGCATAGATACATTCTTCAGTTAAATTTATTGGAATGGTTTATTCAAATTGCCAACATGCTCCTGATTTTTAATAAATAAACAAAAATTTTGCAATTACGCAGCAGTAAAGAAGGTCAAATGCTACGCCGAATTATATTAACCCCAATTTACCGTGCCAAATTGACATGCGTTGACTTATTTCTGCCCGAATATTCGGGTGAATTGTCACTGCATCGAATTAGCACGCATGCAATTGACCGGGCTTAATTATTGCATTTCTTTGAAAATAACATGCGCCAAAATGACATGTAACACTTAAAATATTTTGTTTTTATGAATGATCTACTCATATTACTTATCTTGATTGAATTGAATTTTGCATCTTTTAACGCTAGGTAATGCAATTAAGCCAAATTTTTTAAGTTTACCATCACCGAATGACCTAGATACCTCAAGAATTCCATTTAATCTTCCATCTCTATATATTAATTAAATTGTATATATAGCTATTTTTATGATATATTTAAATGTATGATAAATGTTTCAAACTGGTGGTTAATTAGATCATTTTCTAGGTTCTGAACAAAATTTTAATGGTTCAGGTTCAATAGATAATGATAATAATGATTAATACCAGTTTTTCTTTAGTAAAATTTGTCAAAATTTTTATAAAAATAGGTTTAGTATTAACATTGGTGGTGTAAATAATAGTAAATATATTATATGCGTTCATATGCCTAAATATATATAATAGGGCTGTGCCAATATTTAATATCGGAATATCGGATCGGCACCAATATTTAGCGTTTTAAAAAAATATCAGATTGGGCTGATCTTTTTTTAAAACGATCTGATCCTATATTTTTTATTGTTTGTTATTTTATAAATAATTTCATAATAATAAATGAATGAAAGGAACTAATATACAATTTATTTGTTGTAATGTTTAAAAAAATAGTTTAAAATTTTGCACAAATTTTGTCATATTATCTGCAAAAAGAAAATTATTTTAAAACATTCAACGAGTCACATTCAGTTAGGTTGCCAAACAATTCGATTTAGCCAGTTTCAAAAACGATTACTCAGAATTTTAGCCAAGAGTAAATTTCCCATGCTTATTGATATTTCCCTAGATATCAGAAAGGTCTGGACTTATATTATCGAAATTTCATGGCATAGGCAATAATATTTTGGTAAAAATTTTGATTTGGTCCTTTTCATTAAATCGACCAAATGGAACTGTTTAACAACACTACATTCAACCCATAAACATTGCAATATTTTAAATGAGAATATTAACTTATGAAAAAAAACACTTAAACATTCGTGAAAGTTATTTGGTATTTTTAAAGTAGAAAATTTTAATATATTGATACAAAGATAGATGGTAAATAAAAATCATTATAAATATCGGATTGGTATCGGTTTTTAGTAATATCGGGAAATATCGGATCGGTGAAAAATTTGTGAATTGGCACAACCCTAATATTTAAACTTTCATTCCATCAGCATTAAATAATTCGTTCTTTCTCTCCCTCTGTTGCAGATTCTTCTGACTCAATGGAATTAATATTTATTAGTTTATATTAAATTTAAATTTCATATAATATTATCACAAAATTTATGAAAAATAAAGAAGTAGGAAGTGTTAGTAAAATGTTAGTGAATTCTCTTAAACATTAGAGTATTTGCCCATATTTGATCAAATCAAATACTCCTTTGATCAAGTTAAATACTCCTTTGATCAAGCCAAATACTCCTTTGATTAAGTCAAATACTCCTTCGATCAATTGAATACTTGCTAACCCTACAAAAAATTATTTATTTCATTCATTTTTTAAAAATATTATATTTATAACATGACTGAATCAGGCAAATTTAGCTAAATTTTTAAAATAATTTTGCTCTAGGGAAGATAAAATCTTATCATGACAGGATAAAATTTTTTTAAAAATAAGGATAGTCTGGGCTAAAAATTATAAAAAAATGGGGTAAATCTAAGAATTCTTAAATAAAATTGGGGTAGGTTGAAAATTTTAAAATAAACTTGAGACTTGCGAGGGCCAAAAATTAAATTAATAAGCAGTTAAAACTGATTTGTATAATTAAATTTAAAATAAATATGAATAAAATTTTGATTTAAAATAACAAATTACATGACATTTCCACCATATTTTTGTATCCTAACTCTTTCTTCATACACAGTGGGAGAATGATTTTCTGTAAGATTTATAGCTTTATATGATTGGCTTACGGGGTTATATCTACTAAGAACTGCCTAAAAGATGTATTTATTTTTAAAAATAATATATCTTTATCCCTATTAATTATATTTAAGATAAATTAATTACAATATAAAATATTAATAATTTAAATGTTTTAAGCAAGGTTGCCAAATCTTTCAATTTTGGCCTAAACTCTCAATTTCTTGTGTTCATGCCAAAATATGTAGTGATGTTAAGGTAACTAGTTACATTTTGGCTAAAAAATAACTGTAACTAGTTATATTTTTAAAATTGTAACTAGTTAAAAATTTTGAAATGTAACTGCCAAAAGTAACTAGTTACTTTTAAAGATATATTAAAATAATTATTTTATTTTTAATATGTTGTGATAAATTAATTTTAAATTAAATTTATTTTTTAAATTAAATTTATTAATTTAAAATTTTGTGAAAATGTCTGATTGTTCCCAACAATAACACAAATACTTATATGTATGGCAGATGTGCAGGGATTAAAATATTATTAACCTCTAAAGGATACTATATTAGCTAGTATTGAAAAAAGGTAACTAAAATCAAATAATTATTTATAAATTAATAATATCATGTCATAGGTTTAATAATCTTTATGATTATGACAACATCATTGCTGCAATTCTTCACCCTTTATTTAAAACTGACTGGCCTTGAATTAGGCAAGAAAGGAATAAAGCAAAAAAGGAGGAAATTTTAAATTTAATAAATACCTTAATACCTCAAAGTGAATCCCAGACGAATGAATCATGCTCAAAACCAACATCACTTGATGTAGTTGGATTTTTTGACCTAAAGCACCAAAATATTCTGGATAATGAATTTATAGAAAACTTTATTAAATCTAATAACAACACTTTTTCTTTATATAATAATTTTCCAAAGTTAAAATTACTTTTTATTAAATATAATGTTGTTCTAACATCAAGTGCTCCCGTAGAGTGCTTATTCAGTCTAGGTAAGCTCATTTTTGGAGATAAACGAGCACGTCTCCTAGATAATAACTTTGAAATTAATTTGTTGTTAAAAGCAAATAAACATTTATTAGATTCTAATTTTTATGAAAAATAAATGTTTTTTTTTCAATGCAAATATATATTTTTATATTCGATGTAAATATTCAATTTTGCGATATTTTTTTATATAAATAAATTGTATATTATTTTAAATAACTGATTATACTTTGTTTATCCTAATTTTTTTTATATAAAATAAATGCATTCAATAAATAAATAATGCGCATATGAAGGATGTATAAAGTAAGTAACTAGTTATTTTTGAAAATAACTGTAACTAATAACTAGTTACTTTTGTAAAAATGTAACTACTAACTGTAACTAGTTATGTTTCAAAAGTAACTTTTAACATCACTAAAAATATGCCATCTATTAATTAACGCTCTCCTCCAATTTCTTTAAAATTATATGTAGGTTTTCTCGAGTTTTTTTAATAATTTTAATTTCTAACCAACTTAAAGTCAAATTTTTTTTATAATCATGCATTTAAAAGGACATTTTGTTTAGGGTTATTTTATTCTTCTTTTGATTTTTAGAAAAAAATAAACAAAATATTTAATAGCTAATAATTTTAAAACAAATATTATGATAAATCTCTAAATCTGAAAATGACTATTATGTGAATGTGAAATAAGTTTTTATATTTAAAATTCAATCTATATAAAATGGTTATAAATTTAAATTCTGCATATTTTAATATTATTTTTAGAATAGATTTTTTACAGTAAATAATTTTTTATTTGTTAAATGAGATTTTCCCTTAGGTTATATTCCTATTCTATTTTTATTCCATTAATTTAAATTATATATAAATTATAGAGTTAAAGAAAAGTATATCAAATAGTCATACGTCATAAAGCGCATACACCCTCTAAACGTTGTAGGTACAACAGAGCTACGCTAGGTATTTCTCATCTCCATCTAATTGGATTAAATAAAATTTGGGGAAAAGATGAGAAGCCCTTTACACGTTTGTGGGCAAGCCGCACGTACTTGTAGGCACAACATTTCGAAAAATGTTGCTTAAACCTCTATAGGCTTTAATTTAAAAGGAGTGGGACAAAGAAAAAGCCTATACCCGAGAACTACAGTATAATTTAATTACTTTAAAGGTGGGTGATGGCTGATTTTAAGCTTAATTTCTTTAATGTAAGTTATATCTGTAAATAAATATGATTAAAATAAAATAATATTTACCACCGGATGAACCGAACCCAAATATATCAAAAAAATGGTATTTTCAGACATTCAATGTAGTTTACAGAATTTAACATGCATGAAAGGAATTCAAATAACTTTAAACATAATCTAATACCTAAAATTCCTTCATGTGTTAGAGAAGATAAACAAATTAATTGAAATATAATTTCGTATAACATATTAATATCAGACATGGAGGAGTCCAGAATGTGAAAAACATTCAACAAGGCAAAAATATATATATTCAATTTAAAAAATGAGGAATCAATAAAAAATATCAAGCCACTTTATTGTTAATACTTTATATTATCAATTTCCTTTAACATTGCCTCAAATAATGGAGATACCAAAACATTACCAATGCACTATTCTAATAAGGAAACAAAGTTTCAAATAAACCTAAAAACATAACTTTAAGAAATTGAAGGATATTGTTCATGCTTAGGAAAAAACTTGATTAAAACAAAAATTAATAATTTAATAAATATGTAAAATCTTCTAAAATAAATATGAATTATTTATTCTTATATATTAATTTTTAGAATATTTTGTATTTTTATGGTTAAATTCTCCCACTCTTTGTTTGAAAGAATCTGGCAACCCTGTTTTTAAACTTAAGGAAAACTTTGAAAAATATAAATATATTAAAATAATATTGATAAAAACATAATAAATGCAATTATTATATAAATATAAAATAAATTCTCTCACAAATTATAAAAATTATAATTGGAAGTGTTGATTTAAAAATTCTTTCTTATAAAACTAACCATACTATCACCAATATTTGCAATATACAAAGTATCATCACCAATGAAAATCAATATAGTGCCAGTAGAACCATCATTCCAAGGAGGTTTGCTAAATGATATAAGCATTTATAAATAATATAAATATAATTAACTTTTTTAATGCTTCTTTTAAAAAATCTTCATCTATTTTTTTAAAAGTCTCAATAAATATCTTCTTCATATTTAAATGAATATCTTCTGCCATCACTAATATATTGGGATTATATTATATGAATGCATATTATCCATACTTTTTGATAATTTTTCTGCTAATATTGTATTAAAATTTTTAGAGACATAATCAGCTGCTTTAATTCCTCCATGTCCATCAAATATACCATATAAACGAATATTAGGTTTATGAATAATGCTGTACATGTGAAAGAAAATAGGTGTATAATTTTAACTTTTTAAACTCAACCAATCCTGATTGTGTAGGCCATATTTTTTCATTAAAGCTTTCATTTAATATATAAAAATCTTGCATTTCCTCTCTTTCCCCTTTAAATTCAATAACAAATGCTTTTATATCAAGATTATCTACTCATTTAATTATAAGAAATTACGAGATATAATATCAAACCATAACTATCTTTATCTCCAGGCATGGGAGCAACTATACTGAAAATTGACAGGTAAAATGAGAATAGACAGATACAAAGAAAATTGTGTTTAATGTTAGTTATAACCAAAGGCAATTTTGAACGAATTGGTAAATTATTTATTTTATCTGAAAAACTTTCACATTTGATTAATATATTTAAAAAAATAATGATTATGGGAAAGCATCTGTTGCCTAGAGGGTAAAGTATCAGTGGCCTAGACGATAAGAGCGTCAGTGGCCTAGGCGATAAGAGCGTGAAATTCAGAATTTTTTGTATTTTATATTTATATTTAGTATCAACAAAATAAGTTTATAAAAAAATATTTTCATAATTCTAAAAATTTTTAAGAAAACTAAATTAAGAATAAATATTTATTTTGGTATATAATATAATGATGAAAAATATGTAATTTTGCATTTTATTATAAGTTAGTTCGTGTCAACAAAATAAGTTAAAAAAATTTTCATATTCCCAAAAACTTGAAATAAAATGAAGACTAGACGAGAATTATTTTGGTAAAATTCTCAAAATAAGGGATAGCTCCAAATGTGTAGGTTAATATCAGCTAAATTTTAGAAATAAAAAATTTTTAAATTCTAAAGTCTGAAAAAAAGAGACTAATCTGAGGGTTGATATTTATTTTAAGTATGATTCAAGTGTTGTTAAATAGTTAGTTTTTGTCGACCAAGAACCCGAGTCAATGTCGTAAAAATCGGCTCAACCCTGATCCAGAGTAGAAAAATTGACCACCACCCAACCCTATCCATTGGGCCTGTTGAGCCAACCCTTGTTGGCTTGCTGTGTTGGCTTGCTGTGTTGGCTTGCTGTGTTGGCTTGCTGTGTTGGCTTGCTGTGTTGGCTTGCTGTGTTGGCTTGCTGTGTTGGCTTGCTGTGTTGGCTTGCTGTGTTGGCTTGCTGTGTTGGCTTGTTATGTTGGCTTGCTGGGTCGACTTTTTGGGTTGTTTGCTGGGTCGGCACGATGGGTTGGCTTGCTAAAACGACTTGCTGGAGCGACTTGCTGGGTCAACAAAATATATAAAAAATTAAACTAGTTTGTTTTAATTCGGGTTAAAAGTTTTTGATATTAGAAAGATGTATATTTCGTTCTAGTGAAGATTGGCACTGTCATAATATTGTATTCCACGAGGAAAAAAAGAAATTTTTTTAAAAATTTGCTTTAAACCTAGTTAAATGTTTATGATACTATAAAGATGTTCTAAAACCTTTGGGTATAGTAATAAATTGGCACTGCCCTTATATTTTACTCTATGAGAAAAAAATAATGTGAAAAATTTTTAAATATTTATTTTAAGCCTAGTTAAAAGTATTTGATACTAGAAATATGTTCTAAAACTTTTGGATCTATTAATAAATTGGCACTACCATTATATTTTACTCCACTGGGGAAAAAAATTAGGATTTTTTTTAAAATTTTATTTTATATTTAAAAGTATTTTATAGTAAAAAGATGTTCTAAAACCTCTTGGTCTAATAATAAATTACTGCCGTTATATTTTACCCCAGAAGGAAAAAAAATTTGTTTTAAATCTAGTTAAAAATTTAAGATACTAGAAAGAAGTTATAAAACCTTTGGTTCTAATAATAAATAGGCACTGCCATTTTATTTTACTCCACGAGGAAAAAAATTATTAAATTTTTTAAAAATTTGTTTTGAGTCTAGTTAAAAAATTATAATAGTAAAGGGCCTAATAATACATTGGCACTGCCATTATATTTTACTCCGTTAGGAAAAAATATTATGATTTTTTAAAATTTGTTTTAAGTTTAGCTAAAAGTTTTTGATACTAGAAAGTGTTCTAAAACTTATGAGATTAGTAATAAATTGACACTGCCATTATATTTTGCCATAAGAGGAAAAAATTATGAATTTTTTTTAAAATTTTTTTTAAGCTTAGTTAAGTTTTTTATAGTAAAATGTTGTTCTAAAACTTCTGGATCTATTTATAAATTGGCACTGCCATTATGTATTACTCCACGAGGAAAAATAATTATTAAAATTTTTTAAAATGTTGTTTTAAGCCGGTTAAATGTTTTTAATACTAAAAAATGTTCAAAAACTTTTGGTTCTACTAATAAATTTGCACTGCCACTATATTTTAGCCCACTAGGAAAAATAAATTGTAGAATAAGCCTAGTTAAAAGTTTTTTATACTATAAAATTTTTCAAAAACATTTAAGTTTATAAATAAATTTATAGTGCTATTATTTTTAACCCCCGCGTAAAATGTAAAAATATAAAAAAATTATATATTTATGTTTTGAGCCAAATATAAGGTTCATAAAATTGAAAAGATGTTTTAAAATTGGAGCTAGTATTAAATTCACTCTGTTATTCATCTTCATTCCACGAAGAAGATTAAAATGTAAAAAATTTTAAAACTTTGTTATGAAACTAGTTTAAAGTTTTTGATACTAGAAAAATTTTCTAAAACATTTAATTTCATAGAGAGATTCCAATTAACATTTTTTTTTATAATTCCTTGCGTTAAAATGTAGAAATATTAAAAAAATTAATATTTATGTTTTAAGTCCGTAGTAAGTTTGGGTCTAGTAATAAGATGTCATTATCATTCCATTTTACTCCACGAGATAAATAAAATGAAAAATTTTACGAACTTTGTTTTATGCCTAAAAGGTTTTTGACATTAGGAAATAGTTCCAAAACCTAGTGTCTAGTATAAATTAATACTGCTATAATTTTTCATTATTTTTTTTAAACTTGAGTTTAGTTTAAAATTTTTGGTATTAGAAATGAATGGTATACCATTGAAACTTTTTAGGGGACTGGTAGTGGAAAAGAAAATATTGGGGAATGTTATCAGAGGATCCTATTTGAAAATTTGAGACGACACTTGTATATGTAAATTTATCCTAAAATAGAACTTAAATCGTCCCGCTATATGCTAAAAATATTTTGAAATAATTATAAATTTTGTATAATTTGGAAAATGTTTGTAAGATAAATAATTTTAGCAAAATTTGAACTATCATAATATGTGATTTTTACAAATATTTTTGATGGAATTTACAAATATATAAGATGTCTAAAAAGGAATGATCAAAAATTACAAAAATTATAGCAAAATTAAATTAAGCACGAGAAAAATAGTTCTCAAAAGAAAGTTAATGTAGAGATATTGATATCTTGTTTGGGGAGATTGTTATATCCCCTATTTTTTTCTATTCTTAAGAATACTCCAAAATTAATCGTCTAAAATCATTGGAGAAATGGGTAAAATTTTTTAGAAATAACTTCAAATTCCCAAAAAGATGTACGGTACCTATTTTAATTTTACTTTAATTTGTCCTCTTAAAAATAATTTTTTTTAATAAATTTTTTTATGTATCCCCATCATGCACCTTTCTGAATTATTTGAGCTTGATTATAAACAACTTATCACAAAAATACGATGCATTTTATACTTCCTTATGCCATTTCTTAAAATGTATGAAGCCTTAAGATCATACTTTCTTTCGATAATCCACCAATTATCAGAAATTTTTTGAAATGATTTAAAAAACGCATATCTGTGGTTTACCCATTCCTTCATGTATATATTTTATTAAAAAATTAAATCAGTTACTGAAATGTTAAACAATTTAAAATCATTAAAATATTTGTTAACCGAAAGAATATGAAATACTTTTCCATTAAAAGTAAAGGCAATATTTAAAACAAATATGATAAAAATGGACAAAAAATCCAAGTAGATGCATTGGTTGATATGTCATAGACACGGCATTGTAATTGATCTTAGGTCAGAATCTCTAGAAGAGAAATAAAAATGCCAAGTAGTCACATTTAGAAAAGTCCATAGAATTATTTTTGAATAAGAAAAATGTTTCTTTAAATAAGTCAAAGTTGTTTAACCCAAATTAAGTTTATAGAAAAAAAAATTACAGCTAAAACTAATTAACAAAAAATTAGACATAGGATAAGTATTTCGGCTAATCCTCCTCACTCTCATCGTTATGTTATAAATATAAATAAAATAATTTTTAATAAATATTAAAAAAAATGCGTAATGCTGACGGATAGCCGAAATCCTTAACCAAAGCCTAATTAGTTTAGCTGATTTTTAGGCTATGCCTAATTAGCAAAGTTTCTAGCCGATTATGCAACACAAAATCAGACCACAATAAAATACTTATAAAATTCGAAAATAAAAAATTAAATCATGGGAATTTCCTTTTAAAAGTAATGAAAACAAGGATTACGTTATATGACACAATATAATGCCTACAGAAGCTTTTCGTTAGATTTTAAAAATGGGAAAATAACAAAATTATTAAGGTATGTAATTTACGCTATTTTTAATTTCCCCAAATCTTCACACAACTGATTATAATAATCTCGATTGTGTTTATAAATATATTTAAACATAATTTCCACAATAAAACACTTATAAAATTCGAAAATAAAAATTTAAATCATGGATATTTCTTTTTAAAAGTAGTGAAAACAAGGATTACGTTAATTGGCACAATATAATGCCAACCCTCGCGCAGCACCCTCTCAAATACTTTTTCCAAATCAACAACCGCATAATAGTGTTTCATTTCCTTGGCAGGATACTTCACCTGTATTTGTCTCACCACAAAAATTATATTTGTCTTGTCTTTGTAAAACCAAACTGCATTTCATTCCCATATCCGCTACTCTAACACCCTCTCAAATACTTTCATTGCATGTTCCAAGAATTTAATAGCTCTGTAAGACCCGAAATCTAAAGGATCACTTTTCCCCTTGTATACTGGGATAATTATACTTCTTCGCTAGTCCTCGGGAATAGTTCATTCTGCGACAATTTGATTGGCTAAATTTATTAACCATTCAATCCCCAAGTCAACAGAACCATTTAACAACTCTGATACCACCCTCGTTAAACCCGATGCCTTCCCTTTTTTTCATCTTTTTCACTGCTCTCCTTATTTCGTCCTTGCCAAATTTACACTCTGGACCTTCACCTTTGTACAAACATTATTATCCCATTCATTTTCTTCGTTCATAAGTCCTTCCATGTAGATCTTCCAGGTGTTCTTTATATCACAATCACCATTTTT